GTGAGTGCGGGGGGTGCCCGGGGCTGGGGGTGCCCCTGAGGGCTGCAGGGCAGCCCCTGATGCTCCCACCCTGCTCCAGGTACAAGGAGAGGCACCAGGTGCAGCTGCTGGGCCGCGGCTTCATCGCGGGCATCGACCTGAAGCAGCAGAAGCGGGAGCAGTCGCGGTTCTATGGGGATCTGATGGAGAAGAGGAGGACGCTGGAGGAGAAGGAGCAGGAGGAGTGAGGATTTCGGGGCGGGAGCTGGGAGGGTGCTGAGGGGTGTGGGGGGATCCTGGCTGGCTCTGCTTGGCCAGGGTGGGGAGCTGGGGGCGACGCTGGGACGCGGCAGGTCCCGTGGGAGGGGACGGGAGGATTCCAGAGGCACAGGGTGAGCCCCATCCCGGTTCCTTGTCCCCCTTCCCACATCCCCATCCCCTCCTGCCCCTGGCCAGGGCCCGGCTGCGGAAGCTGAGGAAGAAGGAGGCCAAGCAGCGCTGGGACGACCGACACTGGTCCCAGAAGAAGCTGGACGAGATGACGGACAGGGACTGGCGCATCTTCCGGGAGGATTACAGCATCACCACCAAGGGGGGCAAGATCCCCAACCCCATCCGCTCCTGGAAGGACTCCTCCCTGCCCCCCCACATCCTGGAGGTCATCGACAAGTGCGGATACAAGGTGGGCACAGGGAGGGGGGCCCCGCAGGGGGCTGGGCGTGGGGAAAAGGGGGTCGTCAGGGGCGTGGGGAGGGGGAGGAGGGAGAGTTCTGCTCCCAACCTGCTTTCCCCGGGCAGGAGCCGACCCCGATCCAGCGCCAGGCCATCCCCATCGGGCTGCAGAACCGGGACATCATCGGCGTGGCCGAGACCGGCAGCGGCAAGACGGCGGCGTTCCTGATCCCACTGCTCGTGTGGATCACCACCCTGCCCAAAATCGACCGGTGAGGGCACAGGGCGGGGGGACGCTGCCCACAGGAGGGGGAGAGAGGGTAATGTGGTGGTGACACTGCAGAGGGGGTAGGACAGGGGGACAGGGTGACACTG